GAACTCATCCTTTTACTCTTGGGAGTCAGTAAATGGAGTAAATGGCCAGTAAAAGAGAAGACCAACTGGGGAGTAGCTGATTTACAGCAGGAAGCTGATAGTAATTGCCTAGGTGAAAGCCAAGAGCACTCAATAATTAAGCTGTCCCTGGAACTGCAGGAAAAACTGGAGATTGCTGGGGATACTGCTTACCATCCCTTTGCGCTGATGGAGCTAGTGTGAGCAGCAGAGCTTAAAAAAAGGGAAGTGGGGAGGAGGGATGGGCATGACTCATGGCGTTATATTGTATTTATCAAGTGTAGTTTTATGGAGGTTCATCATTTTGTAGAGATGAGTAAGTAGTAATGTATGTTTCTTAATCATCTCAGCTAATAGAAAATAAGAACCCTAAAGTCATCTCCTGGGGTAAGTTAAATCCAGAGTTCAAAATGTCCATATGCTAGTAGAGCAGGAAGTAGAAGTGTTAGTCTAAATTAAAGAAATAAAAAAAATAATAAAATCATACGCAAAACTTGGGGAAAACACATGTAAAATAAAGCTAAAAGGTATTAAGGAACAGAGCTCATCTTTCTGTGTTTCTTAAGCCTATGTGTGGATAGTGCAAAGCCTGTTGCATGGTCTTTTGATTCATACAGAGTTCCACTTTCTCTGGTAAGCCAGCGGTCCGTGGTTTATGCCTGCTTGTGGAAATCAAGTGTTAGCTGTCAAAGGAGAGATCAGGCCATAGAAATGTTGCCTTGCATGCCACTTTAATAGTCTTGTATAGACTTTGTACGTGAAGATATGGAGGCTGCAACCACACTGTAAAGGAGGTGAACTCAAGAACAGGTGCTGGTGTGAAACTAAAAATAGAAATTAATGTAGGAGAGTTTAAGCAGTCTGTTATAGATGGTGAAAACGAGACGCTTGTGTGCCTCTCCAGGTTCTAGTTATGCAGTCATGCATTTACAGTTACAGACTGGGAGAAGGTGATCTGTGATTTTTATTTACAGTGGTGCCCAGGAGGCCAGGCAGCCTTCGGTTTGTGATAGAAATGTTGAGGAATGTTGGTATATGGTACACTTCAGAGGAAGAGAGCGGTGAGAGGGGAAATCTGAGAGAAGCTGGGCTGATGGGGTATGTACCTACTCGAACTAGTACACTGTCACTGGAAAGAGGGATGTAAGACTTCAAAAATAAATGAGACCTCCTGTTTGGATTATAACGTAACCCTCCAAGAAGGAATTTTCAGGACCTGAGTTTTCTGCATTCTTACATATGAGTGTCAATGTACACCACGAAATGGGCTTTCAAAAATATTTTAGCTTCTGGTGAATTATGGCGAGAACCAAGAGGAAATGGGCCACAGGGGTATTTTTTCTGAAGCAGCACTATGTCCATGCCCACCCCCACATTCCAGGGAGGAAAGGCAAAATAAAATGAAGTTTTATGTAATCTATTAAAGGTTTAATGCCTTTAGCTTTTTTTCCTAAGAACTCATAATCTTTTCATAATGTTTGATTCTAAAAATGGGCAGAAGAGTTATTACACTGTTCTGTGCTGCAGATTATGCTGCAGAAAATAACTTAAGTGTGCATGTAGTAAGAGCTGAAAAGTGTACAGACTTGGAGATTTTTGTTTTATAGTTGCCGGAAATAATAATTTATGAAAAATCGTATCTATGTAAGACCGGATCTGTATTCTGAATACACTTCTACGTTGAATTTCCAGCACTGAGGAATTAATGTTGGAGTTCTGCAATTGCTTTTGTGCATCTTTAGAAGTAATGTGGTAATTCCGTCACTGTTGCTTTTTTGGTCTGTCTGGAATTGCCAGGAAGGGTGCCGTAGTGGTGGTTTTTGTCAGGTGTGTTCAGTTGCTTTAGTAACTGGAAGAAGGGCTATAATTGATTTTTTTTATGTGCACTACAAATTGTGGTTCATTAATAAATTAACAGAATTGGTATTAATTTACAGTGGAATCTTGACAAGGTGTAATATGGTAGAAGCAGACTTTTAAAATTGGAAAACAATTGCATGATTTTATGTTTGATTTAGATTGTGTAATAAAATCAGAGGGTTTTTTAATCTCTTATTTTTTAAGAGCGCCAGTCTAGTCAATGTCAGTAATCCTGTGAGGAATTTTGAACTAATCTGAAGAAAACAGCAGTTATATAACAAAATTTTAAATTAATGATAGTTCATCTTGTATTTTCATCAGAGGACAAAGGAACTGCAAATAGTATCAGTTTATAGGCTAGACAATAGCTAGTAGTACTTTGAAACAGAAAAACTGTATGAATTTATGGGGGGTTTTTTTGTGAAAATTGGTTTATTAGTCAAATAAGAGAAAGCCTCTGACTTTTGTCTTTTGCCCTGGAAAAAAAAATTAAAGTGTTGGAGTAGTTCAAATTTAGCTAACTGTATTATCATAATGGAGTGGTACGAGTATCCTCCTTTCATTTTTCTTAAAAGGTTTTTTTGAAACATAGATTCTTCTATAGGGGAAAAATGCTTTGAAAATTCAGTTGGTTTTGTTCAAGGTTTCTTAAACAATTTTCAATTTGTATCAATTTTCAATTTGTATCTTGTTTCAAAACCAAGTTTTCCGTGTTTCATTTTCTTCACATCTGCAGAGAACACAGCTTAAGCCTGCTCAGACAGGAAACCAGCCAGCAATATTTGCTTTTTTTAGGCACAGGGCTTTTCTGGGCTTCATAAACTGTTGATACTAAGCTGAAGTGGTCTCTTGAAGTTCTTGATGGCTTGTTGAGGGACTACTTGGCACAAGTTAGGGCAATACTGGTAAATGACAATTTTTATATTAATTGAAATGAAAAATGCTAAGTTTTGCTAATTTACAGGTATAGTTTAGAGAACATCTACCCTTAAGCTTGCCCCTAGCTACAGATGTGTTTATAGTGATGTTGCTTCAGTGTAAGGTGATCCCGAGAACCAGCATGTGAATTACTGATGGACGTTCGTTAGGATTATGACCTTGCCTTAAAAGTGCTCAAGTGGTAGTTTTTGCTGTTACTTAGAACTATAACTTGGTTACACAACTTGTCGTAGATATACAATATCTAAATTGTGAGGAACATACCAATAAAATTTGATTACCTTAGTAAATGTTACTTTATTAAAAAACAAACCTATGCCTTTGAAGATTTAAACCATTGTTGCATGCCTTAAATATGGAGACTCTTTTACCTTTTGGAGGCAGAAACTAAAATCAGCCAAGCGCTTAATGGGAGGGTTATGCACATTTAATGTTCTGGTAGCAATATAGAAAATGTCTTGCATCGCAGACAAAAGTGTGTTAACTTCGTTATATGCAAGATTGCATTTAACTTTAGAATTTGATAGCTTATATTTAAAAAAAAAAAAAACCTCTAACATTTTTTATAATCTGTCCTTGCTATGATATTGCAATCTCTTCAACTTTTTGCAAATACTGCTTAATTGAGATTGCTAGATCTGGTCCCTGATGCCAAACTTAATGTATCAGACTTGAGTTTGTCCCAGAGGATTAGTGTGGTGTTGGGCACAAAAAAGGTTAGTTGTTTTACAGGTTAAGTGACTTAAAACTGCTTACTAGAAATGATCAAAATCATGATAATGGATTTTAAAAAAATGGTTTCTCAAAGTGGTTGAAGCAGAATTCGACTAGTATTCTAATTAGTCAGATAAAATGACAGCTAGCGTCTACATGTTTTTATATCTGATCCCCAAAAATAAAGGTATGCTTATCTGTATATCTGATTCCCCAAAATAAACACTTTAAAGTGTGCTTAACGGTAAATCATATTTTACTGTGGTGTATCAATACCTAGCTACAGATAGTTATTGGGTGCCTGCCTCATTGTGTGTGTATGTAACTATATTTAAATCAAATAACCTTAATCAATAAAACAATATGTCAACAATTCCAAGAAATATTAAAAAGTAACTTCCGTATTACAGAGTGAAAGCGTAAAGTGCTTAAGTCTTCTGTATCTTGTTAATATTTTTTGATAAGTACTATTTATGAGTTTTGTAACAAAATGTAAAGAAGACTGAATTGTTTCTTTCCTGCTCTGGGAAAGATTGGCATTGACTTGATTTTTATCATATTTAAATGCTGCTTTATTGCCATTTTTAGATGAGTATGCAAATTTATCGTTGGTCTTACACGGCTGGCTCTGAAAGTAAAATGACTGTCACATAAAATAAAAGGAAGCAAAAAATATGATGCAATAGCCTGCAGTAAGACAGAGCCATAAAAGGTGAAGCAGGCAAAATGGGAATAGATGGTCAGCAGTACAGTTTAGTTTTTTTTAAAGCAAAACAAAGCCAAAAAAAAGCCCCAAAACCCACCATAAAAAAAAAAGTAACCACTCTCAAACTTGGTACCATGTGGAAATTGAGGATTTCAGGTTTGGATTAGGAAGTGTGATCACAACTCTGTTACTGCACATACAACTTCATTTTCACTATTTAATAGATAAGGATGGAAAGATGCCTGTTCTTAGACATTGTTAGACATGAAGTTCTTTTTGTAGAAGAAAATAAAAAGGTGAACAATGTTTCTAAAAGCCTTTTTGTTGAATTTGCCTAAGCAAAATATGTGAAAACCATGTTGGACAGTAGAGCTGCTGACAAAGATCCTTTCTTGACCATGAAAGGCAATGTCAAAGAAGGAAGTGTAAACCTAACATTATCTCAAGTTTGTGCAAGTTGTGAAGGAGAATCTTTGATTATTCTTTAGTGATCTTGCAAAAGCTACTCTTGATGCTCATCCACTATTTACCGCTTCTATCTTTGCACTTAGGGTGTTAGCAATCCTAAGTATATGCTTCAAAGAAGGAAGAAAGACCTGTCTAAAAAATCAGTCGTGGCCGTGGGGGGGAAACCGCTGTGCTTCACTTATCCTGTAGAAACTTCTTTAAGCTGCTAGTTGAAACTGCTCAAAATGTCATGGGTAGGCACAGAACAGTCTTAAAATTAGTAACGAGGAACTTTGCTTAACTTCTATGCTTTTTGTTCTGCAGTGTGATGTTCAGAGTCAGAAATGCCTTATGTGGATCGCCAGAATCGCATTTGTGGTTTCCTAGATATTGAAGAAAATGAGAATAGTGGAAAATTTCTGCGGCGGTACTTTATTCTGGACACACGAGAAGACAGTCTGGTGTGGTACATGGATAACCCACAGGTGAGATGTTCTTGGCAATAGTTATCTGACTTCTATCAATTTAAACTTTTTCTGATTTTTAGTTACTTAAGTTTCTAAAGTTACTTTTAGTTACTTAAGTAAATACGGCTTCAGCAACTTAAGTTACTTAAGAAAAATGCAGTTTAAGGTTAGTTTGTGGACCTGAAAGCTTGGGGGAATGCAGAGTTACATAAGTGGAATAACTGTAAATCAGTTTCTCTTCTTTGCTACTACGTGCAGTGTTTTAAAGAGAACATATAATTCCTATTTCTGATTAAAACAGTACCAATTGCAGCTAGTAGTAAAACATTAAAAACAACTTGAACATCAGTGCTGCTATATGGAAACGAAGTTTGAACAGGAGAACTGGGGATCAGACAGGAATCTGAATTTAATAATATGTCAATCAGTTATTTCTTTTAAATCATGGTGTGCTGTATTTATTTTGTTTTCTATCAAGCGTCTTGAACGTGTATTGCAGGTTCTTGCAGGCACTAGGCAGTGCTATGTAGTATAACCAGATGAGCTGCATCACATACTAGTTTCATTTTTTCAGGTCTTTTAATTCACCTTTAACCCTATGTGTAAGTATGTAGTTTTCCTTGCATTGCATGGGTCAGTTAGCAGTTTTGTGTTACTTTACTCCAACTGAATCAGTCACTGAAACGAATTTTCTAATGATGCTTGCAGTTTCAAGACAGCGTAAACGGCATGTGAATGCGAAAAGCTTGTATCCATCATGACGGAGAGCATCCTTTATACAGAAGATACTTTTACAATGTGCACACATCAGTGTGTTTTCTAGCATAGGGGAGAGCAGATAATTGCTTAGGATTTGGGTGCAGAGACAGTGGAAGTAGAGAATCTAGGTCAGCTTACAACCGTCTTCCAGAAGAATATTTGTGTACCATTCTGCCAGGAAAACCACAGTTAAAATATAGAAGTTCCTGCCTGTTGAAAGGGACCAATGAAAAAAAAAAAATTAACCAATATGGAGTTCAATGAATGTGACTTGTGACTGAAGCATTCAGAAGTTCTTGCTGAGGGGAAAAAAAGAAATAATTTTTGGAAATAAGTCTTCAAACGTTTGATCTCAATGAGTGATATGAAGCGGTTCTTTTCTTCAGTTTCTCCTGTGATTTAACCAGGGCATGTGGGCTAAAACTTGAAATGCCATAGAAATTACAGTTCCTCAGAAGTTTTAAGGGTAATGATATTTGCAGTGCATACCTCTTAAAGTTTTTAGTTTAGACTTTCATATTTTTTTTAAATGTTAGAATTCATGCACAAATGAAAGGGTGCCTTGCAAGGGGCAAGTTGAAGCTTCTTGATTTTCTCCCACTGCTGCTTTAGTTTTGAAGAACTACAGAGCTTTTATAGAGCCATGGTGTGGACACCATTTGTGATCCTTGAAGTGATGAAACTTTTCATATAGGCTGAGTCTACGGTGTGTGCAGAACTTCACTGGGCCGTTTGTTGCTGATAGAAATGTTCTGTTTATATCTGGGAAAATCAGTTCAGCTGTTCAAAGAAATAATGTTTTTAAGTCCACCATTAACCACACATTATTATCCTAATATAAAGTTTATAAAACTGATGTATGCTGGGATCAAAATAATTCTGATAAAGTAAAACTCATTTATTTATTTATTTGGGCAGAATGGGAGGACTTTTTAAAATTCAATTTCAGTGTTACCGGTCCGTAATAAGCCTAACCTACTTCTTACATTTGAAGTATGGATGGAGTCTAAACCAATTATTTTTCTGTCTTTCTGACTCTGCGGGTAGCATTAGGCTTTTCTTTGCAAAGTAAAAGTTCATAAGATACTACAGAGTAATGAAGAGCACTTTAGCTGGGGAAAGGATCAGCGAGCAGATACAGTGCCATTCTTACGGTATCCAGGGAGGCCTGTAGTGGGAAGAATGATACTGTAACAAAGCAAAAATTGTAGTGGAAAAAAATGCATGGAGAACAGTGCTCTATTTAGAGGAGTAAAATTAGGAAGCCTGTTTCATTAGAAACAGGTAATAAAAAAGTTAACTATTTTGTGATGCTCAGTTCTTTAACTGTTGTATTTCTAGGCTACTAGCTGGTTGTGAATAGTAATGTATATATTAAGACTAATGTATTAAGGATGTAAAAACAACGGACAGCTCCTTTTTGGGTTGAGAAGCTACTTGGGCTTAACTGCAGCTTTAGGGAGTATCATGGTCTTTCCCTGAAGTAACTTTAATACAAAATGATAAGACTATGATTTTTTCAATCCACTTTGGAAAATATGTGAGACAGCCTTTGAAGTGTCTGACATAATAGATGAATGTCACTCCTTGTCCCTTCCGCCTGCCCCGGTCAAAATACGTAAGATGCCAACATCTGTTAAGGAAAAAGTATTATTTCCGGATTTCCTGGATGCAGACCTACAAGAATCCTTTTTCCTCTGGTAAAATACATAAACCTTTAAAACAATTACTATTTGTATTGTTCCTAGCAATTTTTCTGTTTTCAGTTGATTAACAGATGTGTGTATAATAAACAAGCAGCTCAGATTCTGTTTCAAGCATACATTGTGTATTGTCTATAAAAACATGTAGGATTTTATTTTTGTTTGTGGAATTATTTGCCTTTTATCTGTAAACACTGACAGTGATATGAGAATACCCTAGTTTCACTTTGTAACATAAAATTTGTTTCAGAATCTTCCCTCTGGATCTCCACCTGTTGGAGTCATTAAACTTACCTATATTTCCAAGGTAAGACAGTATATAGGACACGTGTTGCTAAATTTTTGGTGATAACAACCAAGGACCACTTCTGAAGGCCTCAGCTTTAGAGAATTTTTAAGTTCCTACTGTGTAGCCCATGAGAAGCTTTTTGCTTGTGTGCTGCTCCTGAATTTTTAGAGTATTACAAACACTTCAACAGTATTACGTTAAAATAAGAACAAACTAATTACTGTGTTGTCTAGGTTTGCTCTGTAATTTCAAATGGCAGCTCTGTGTGCTGCATAAAATTAATATTTCCAAACTGTATGTTTGAGTTCTTTATGAGTATTTGAATTCCAATTAGTCTTGGAGAAAAGACAGGCCATTTATGAAGTGGAAGATAAGTCTTTGGGTGTGATAGTTTACAAGCAATAATGATCTTTAATAGATAGAACAGAAAAATTTCTGGAATTTCTATTTCTAAAAATTTCTAGTTCACCACACTTGGTATACCCTCACTTCCAAATATGTATGAAAGACAATTGTGGACTAATAAAGTCTCCATGGTTCAAATTCATAGCAGATACTGCATTAACAAATAAGTAGAGAAGAATAAGTGACCTTTTTGTGTCTTTCTGTTCATTTCTTATTCTCTGCTTTTCTTGTTGTCATACTGCATCTTTCCACCTTGTTCTCTTTTTTTATTCTTGTAAAATATATCATTGATGCTGGTTGTTTTATGAGTACAGAAATGGCTGCAGAGACCTCCTTATGTCCTTCCTGGTTTCCTTCTGTGCTTACTTTGCCTCAGACTTCACAGTTGTTGTCTCAAGAAATCTGAGATCTTGTATCTCAGTTTTAATGTATTTGAAGACAGCTCAAGTGTGGCTCCTGTGCAGGTGTCTGTCTAACTTTCTATAGTCCTTCTAGTTATGTAGTATGTACTTTTTCTTGCTGGCAAAAAGAAAAGGGTTTGTGAGAGAGTGCTTTGCCTTCTTCCTCACCCTTGATAGAAGTGCTCTATAACGTAAAAATGTTAATGTCTCTCTCAAAACAGGACACCCACTTTTCTTTTCTTCCAACACTGCAACATTTTAGACACTCCTGAGGGAAAGTACCTGTTATTGTTTTTATGTTAATGAACCAAAATACCGTTGATGTCCTTGACAGTATGAAATGTCTTTGAATTTTTATTTTGGTTGAGGCATAGAACCGGAATGCAAGTAGAAAGAAGTGTTATGTTTTCAGATATCAGCCTCTGTCTGGTAATGAATCCATAAACTTAAGGAGTAGGGGCATATGGCTTAAGCTGCCTTCTTACCATAGGTTCCACATCTTGAACTGAATTTTATGTAGTACTTTTTGTTTTATCTGTATATCTTTACACCTAACAAGCTTGCTATGCTGCTAATCTTCAAATTCAGCCACTTGAAAGAGAAAAAAAATTGTGATATCTGATGTATATTTTGTATGTACCAGTGGTATTCATAATCTTGATTTCCCTATAGGTTAGCGATGCAACTAAGCTAAGGCCAAAGGCAGAATTCTGTTTTGGTAAGTTCTTGCATGTGGCATGTGCATCAAGTACATTCTTCAGAAATTTGAAACAAAGATGATGTTCTGCAATTCTGTTACTAGATACAGCTGCTAGTGTATTTTTTTAAAAAATAGCTTGTGTTCAGTGTTTCTTTAGTATGAAGGAAATGTTGGCTTCTTCATAAGGTGTTTTTGTGGGGTTTTTTGTATTGCAGCTAAATGAGGAGTAGCGAGAGCTGTTTTTCATAGGTTTGAAATTTTTGAGGCATTAATAAGCTAGTCAAAAATGATGGGTGTCTTCAGAAACATAGCATGCCTGTCAGCTATGAAGACAAGTAATTTAACTATTACTAATAGTAATACTAATTTAAGTATTACTAATAAAAGATTATTTAATTAATCTAAAAAAACCTGTGAGATAATGCTCCTATGTTAAATTTCAACCTCTATTGCTACACTAAAGAAAAATAATTTGCTTGGGGTACCTTCTAGGTTTATTGAAACTTGTTTGAACTTGAGTAAAGACTTAGTTAATCATAAAAGTCCCTTATGGTCTTTTTTTTAGATTTTTGTTGTAAATAATTTGTCCAAAATTTACCATAGTTCCAGATTTTTGTGACAAGTAATTGGCATTCACAAAAGTATTTGCAGAGACTGGAATCGGCCTCTGCTCTGTTTTATGAATAACCATTCTTTATGGCTGCATTCACATGAGAATTTTAGCTCAGATGAAGGTACTGAAAATGCCTGAAGGTTTTGTGTCAATAAGTCAAGGTGTCCTTTGCCATGTGCAGTGTTCTACATGCCCAGCGAAGGCAGCTCCACCGAACTTGTTCAGTCTCTGTGTTGGAGCTCGCGGAACACTTGGTAAATCACCCCGTGTGTAAGAAGGCTTCAGGGATTCTAGTCTAGTACCAAGCGTGTCAGTTCAGTGCCATCTACAGATTCCTCTGCACATGCACGTGTAGAGGCGTTTGTCTTCATCAGTTGTAAAATTGCTTTTGTCAGTGGGTCAACTTCTAAAAGCTTTAATGATCCAAGGTGCTGTCTGAAAGCTTTTAATATTTCTGATTTATTAAACTGTTTTTGGTACTTTTTAGAGGAAAAATTTACATTTATTGTCATCTTATTTAAATAGCAGGAGTTGTTTCCATCAGCTCATTATACACTTCTATATTTTGAATTTGTATTTGTATCTAACAACGTTTGCTTCAAACCATCCACTTTGGGGAGAGAGATGATAGAAGTGTAAAAAGTGTCTGTTTCTGGCGTGTTTGCTGTTAGCAATGACATGAACTTTTACAGGTAGAGCAGCAATATCTGTTAAGAGCTGCAGTGCTTCGAAGTTAGGAGGGTTTTAGTCACTGTTCACCTTAAATCTAATTTCAAGATCTTAGAACTTGTGAGAAAAATAGCCATGATTTTTTTCCTGTTACACAGAAATATGTTTTATCTTTTTTTGGATAAAGGTATGCTAGGTGTTGCCAACTAGATATATAAATGTACCGAAAATATGCTTTCTCTGCCAAGTGACTGAAGTAAAATAAAGTTTTATGTTCTGGCTATTTTAAAGTTGTTTGGTCGTGAGCATCGTGTACTTAGTAATCAATACTGATTATTCCACAAATTTAACAAAACAAAACAAAGCAGTGATCATAGGCATGTTAATAATTTTATTGCAAAGGATAACATATACTGGTCAGAGGATTAAAAGGAGAAATTGTAGAAGTCACCGAGTATAAGACTTTGCTGCTTAGGGAAATTGAGAAAAGGGAAGTGGAGCTGTAGAAAGTTCTGATTAAATTCAAGGCTTTATTTCTCTGTAATAAAAGTCATTTAACAAATTCTCTATCATGCCATTTAAATGGAGAGCTAAAAAAGCAAGACAACAAAAAATAGGTTTTTTTTAATAAAGCAAGCCTGTCAAGTGGATGTATGTATCTAAAGATGACTTTGTAAAAATAAATGCAGCAGAGAGCTTAAATATTTCAACTGTATTTTCCATCTGAAATAAAATCTTTTTATGACGGTGTTAAGTTTGCTCTTAAATTTCCATGTTGTTAACTTTTCATAATGGTTTTTAACAGTTATGAATGCAGGGATGAGAAAATACTTTCTACAAGCCAATGATCAGCAGGACCTAGTTGAATGGGTAAATGTTCTGAACAAAGCTACCAAAATCACAGTAAGTGGTTTCATTGATATTTAACAATGCTTTCAAATGCTGACTGTCTCAAAGGTACTTAACCCAGAGAAGCTGTGGATGCCCCATCCCTGGAGGGGTTCAAGGCCAGGCTGGATGAGGCTTTGGGCAACCTGGGCTGGTGGGAGGTGTCCCTGCCCATGGCAGGGGGTGGCACTGGATGGGCTTTAAGGTCCCTTCCAACCCAAACCATTCTGTGATTCTATGAAATGTAACCTTTGCCTCCATTTTTTTATGCTAAAGTAGTCTTTTTATCTCTACAAACAAGTCTTGGCTTGGTTTTCCAAGACTTGAGAAACTTTACAGAACTCCCCCTAAACTTGCATTTATTTTACTTTTTGCATTGGAAGTTGAACAAAAATGTGATTATAATTTTCATTACAGCATATGATGGTTTTTAATAATTTAAGAAAGATGAACCATATGCATTGAATGCTATTTGAAATATCCAGAAGACACTTGCAAGCAATGAAAAGATATGCATACATTTGCCTGGTGTCAAAAGTTGGTAATTCTTGAAGTATCACCAAAATAATGAACAGATACATGCCATGTTCCAAAGGCGCTCTCCTCATTTCAGGAAACATTAATTCAAAGAAACATTAATACTTTCCTCTCATGAGCGTTAAATTACTTTTCTGGTTTGTACCAGGACAACCTTTTATCACATGACAGAAAAACCCACATAATACCTCAGTCTTTTTAGGAGACAGAAGTTATGGTTTTGTTTTCTCTCCAGTTTTGAGGAAGTGGTGACATGAACTGTTTTGAGAGCATACCCTTATAAAGAAGGGGTTCAGAGCGTTGGTGCTCACATTCATATTTGTTGGCAGTAACTTTCTCATTTTTAGGTTATCTGAGGATGTTTCCATTAGTTGTTTACATTGTTTTAATGTAGCCCTTTCTTTGGAGTTACAAAAACATTACTACTAATAATAAATTAATTTCTCACTTCAGTTTTTCCTAAGGAGGACAAACCACAACCAGGCTTGACTTGTTTCCAGTTCAAGAAATGGAGTGAATAAAGAATGAATTGCATCAAATTAGAATGTAGTCTGAAAGCTGCTTATCATCCATTTAACTTGCATTCTAAATGGCTGGTGAAATCATTTGTATTTTTTGTCTTTGAAGGAACAAGCCTTTGAACTGTTGATCTGTTCAGAGGTTATTTAGCATGGCCAGTTATTTAATCAAATACTTAAGATCATTCGATTATTTTTGTATGAGCATTACTTGCTGTAGATCGTAATCTTTCAAGATTCGTTGAATTTTTTAGTTTTCTGCTGATAATTTCAAATAACTATGAACCTTTGCAGTCTAGCACATAGTGTACTGATCTGAGTAGTGATTGAAAATGCATTCGTGTGAGAACGTGGTTGTGGGTTTAGTCTGTAACATTTTGAGTAGGAGTTTGTGACAGCTGCAACTCTTAGCCATAAAGCTGTAGTTACAAGCTCGTTCTTTTAAAAGGCTGAGGCCCATGATCTGTGTGCACTAGGAGAATGTCTTATCCTTCAGCGCCAGACTTGGCTGTGAATGGAGTTGCCTGTGCTATCAAAGCTGGTGTTGTGCAGGGCTGAGGGGACGGTGGAAGTGAGAGGATGAGCCTCATGCCACAGCTGAGCAAGCTGCTGAGTGCCACCTTCACTTGGCCAGGACAAAGCTGTCCCCGGCTGACATTTGTGCTCTCAGGACTGTTTGTACTTCTTTGTGGGCTGTGTTTTTGTAAAATAAGCAGTCCTGGACATAAGAACTAGAATCACAGCAGACTGTAAAGTAGCTTTGTCTTTGTCGAGATCAGTTCAGTTTCAAGCTTTGAATGTGCCATAGTCTTGCATGGTAATACGCTGTGTAAAGACAATTTGTGATTTCTTTCCAAAGGAATTTAGGTGTCCTATGTAAACATCCAGGAGGTTTCTGGCTAGACTATTTTGTTGGGAGACTCTTGATCTCTTGTTGAAGTCACTTCAAAGATACTATATTAATATTAGGGGTGAAAGGAAACTATAAATGAAGATGTCTTAAGTAGCCAGTTGTTAATGCATTTCTTGGGTTACAGATGTTTACTTCTTGCACAAACTCAGAAATTTGCATTAACATTTTAGACTGAAACACTTGTTGGTTAAAATAAATTGCTGTGGTGTTTTGATTGCTTTAGTTCCACATTTGAGAATATTATCTAATCATAGAATCATTTAGGCTGGAAAAGACCTTTAAGATCATCCAGTCCCGCTGTTAACCTAACACAGCCAAGTTCACCACTAAACTATGCCCCTGAGCACCATGTCTATGCATCTTTTAAATACCTCCAGGGATGGTAACTCCACCACTGTCCTGGGCAGCCTGTTCCAGTGTTTGATAACCCTTTCAGTGAATAAATTTTTCCTAATGTCCAATCTAAACCCCCCCCAGTGCAATTTGAGGCGGTTTCCTCTTGTCCTATCACTTGTTACTTGGGAGAAGAGACCAACACACACCTCACTACAACCTCCTTTGAGGTAGCTGTAGAGAGCAACAAGGTCTTCCTTCAGCCTCCTTTTTTCCAGACTGAGCAACCCCAGTTCCCTCAGCTGCTCCCCATAAGACTTGTACTCTAGACCCTTCAACAGCAAGTGAAAAATAAAGAACCAGTTCTACAAATCAACAGCACTTCTTGAGGATCGAGTATAGTATTATGGCAAAGCTTGGAACTGGTTTTTAGAATCAAGACAGCTGGTGAAATGTCTTAATTGGCACCAGTTTTCTTCTGAGAACTAAAGTATAGCCATTGCAACAAATTTTCATGCAAGCTATTTCTAGCCTTTTACAATTAGAAAACATTTGCTAATTGCTGAAGACAAATGAAAAATGCTTAAGTAATGATTAGGGCTTTTTTTAGGTCTTCATAGAACTTTTAATGTTAATTACCATATTCCACTTACAGGTACCAAAGCAGTCTGATCCTCTGTGTCAAATGGATAATGCAAATCGTCAAGCTGAAAGCCCAGGTGGAAAGAAGCAAGTGTCTTACAGGACAGAAATTGTTGGCGGTGTTCCTATCATTACACCTACCCAGGTAATACCCTTAAGACAAGTGAGCTATTATTGGATAGAGGAAGCTTTGTTGTTTGAGAGGTGAGAACAGGTTATGTATCACAATATAGCTGTCAGCTCCTCACCTAGCTCAGAGGTCTTCTACTTTGATGTGCACCTTTTATTGATACTGACTGGGTTTTCTGAGGATTTTATTGCCTTTATATTAGTCTATAGAGAATTATACAAGACTATAAAGACTTGAGTATTGTTTGATATTGATAAGTATGCTGAAAATGTCTATTTGTGTGTGAGATGACTTGTTGGTGTTAACAATGCCAAAGTTCTGTTTTTCTAACTGCCAGGAAAAGTGGGGGGAATATGTTACTAGAGGTAGTTAAGTATGACAGCAGATTAAACTATTGCAGAAGGGTCTTGTGAAATGCCGTATGTGGACAAATAAGATAGCAAGTGAAATTCAATTAAAATAAATGTGATGTAAGGGATTCTGGGAAAAACAATCCTAGTTTTTATAGAAAATGATAGATTCTAAAATGTCCATTTCCACATGAGTGAGAGGTAAGGAGTTGCAGCTGCAATCAAAAGGAAGTTCTTTTTTTCAGTGAGTAATAAAGCATAAGGTACCCCCTGCCAAAAGATGGCATGGATGCAAGAAACTTTCCTGAGTTTGAGAGATTGGACAACCTCATGGAAGAAGAATCTGTGCAGTGTTAAGGATATATACCTGTATCTGTTTCTGGAAGTTCCCTGAGCTGAAAACAGTTACAGATTGGATTGATATAATGTAAATGACTTGTGTACATCTGAACTGCATTTTAAAAGTTGGGGAAATCTGAATGTTTCTTACAGTCCTAGAAACAGATTTTTCTTTGCTGATTTTTCTTAGCCACCTCTAGTGAGTTGCATTAAATACATGCATATATCTTGTTTTCAGGTCCGTAACATTCTTCATTGAGTGTCTGTCAATATTGTTAGATAATACTAAGCACTTTCTTGGTGTAGTTTCTAACTGGAACTTGCGATTGCTCAACCAGAGCCCTTGGAGAGTCTCATTACTTGTCTCTAGAAATCGATTGAAATACTTTATCCTTTCAAACAAATTGCAAATGGCATTTGTGAGCATGAGATGATACAATTATTTCCTATTTTAACTAGTATAGTTATTATTTGACCTCTTGAAGAAAACCTGAGAATATTCTGAACTTTTGTGCTTTTTTTCTAGAAAGAAGAAATCAGTGAGTGCAGTGAAGGGGGTGATAGGAATTATTTGAAACGGTCACAAAGTCACCTTCCTTATTTTCCTGCTAAGCATCCCCCAGATAATGCTATTATCAAAGCTGGCTACTGTGTAAAACAAGGAGCAGTGGTAAGTATTTGAGATCGCTGGCTTTAGTCAAGAACAAAGGTCCTAAGGTGATAGTTCAACTTATCAAGTAGATGATTAAGAAAAAAGACATCATTACCAGTAAGCTTAGCACTACTGACAGTATTAAGGATGGCTAAAGATAAAACTTACCCTCCAGTAGCATGTAATTTAAGTCTGTATTACTACTTTTCGTTACTTTCTTCAGTGTTATGTTGTTGGAGGTGTTTTGGAGAGGAAAAGTTCAGGGCACGGAGACTTTCACGTTATGGTTAGTGCATGCAACTGGGAATTCTTCTGTTCCACGGTTATGTAGAGATCCTTATTTCATTTACTAGAAGTGTCTGAATTAAGGCAGAAGTTCAGTGTCTGCATGCTTTTTAAATCGCTAAAATGTTGAGAAAAGCTAAATTTTCGGTCAGAGGAGGAATTGTTCAGCTTGTCAGACTGATTAACACCGGTGGAACTGTTCACATGATGCCCTGCTAAATAGACTAAAAGAAGAAACAGTTCAGATTAAGTAAGATATGCATGCTTCGTGAGTCCTCAGACTCATTTTATCATGGATTATGAAGCTTCTTTTTGTAACATTTATTTTTTTGGTTAAAAATAAACCAGAGACCTTTAATGTACTGTTCTAACATTCTTACAGGGTATTGTGTTGCTGAGTTGCTACAGTTTCAGTGGAGATTGTTGAAAATTGCTTGTAATAGAAAATAGCTTCCAAAAGTTTAAATCTTTGCAGTTTTCAAAAAAAAAATTAACTGGGCAGAGTTGCATGAAATAATAAATATATAATATATAAAAGTAATAAATA